TACAAGTTGGTAGGCAGAATACAGCATGGAAGATGTTTGGATACATCCCAACAGACTGGGTTGACCCGAGCGGTGCAGTAGGCTTGCCAACCCGTGAAGCGTCTCGAGCCACAGAGGTCTATCATTAATGCTTTGTCTATAACATCCCACTGATATCCTGTCGTTAGTATGCCCTCGGCGACTTTGCCGTCCGACAAGCTGCAATAGCACTGAACAAGTCAGACGCGGATATTGCGAAGTACTCTAATCGTTCAATGAATTTTGTGAATCATTGGGATCCATCTGTAACTTCGGATGGATTTTCGGGATTTCTGCAGCGGCGATTTCAGGTACGTTCTCGAGGCCTGAGTGAAAAGGCTAAGGTAGATTGGCGAGTAGAATGGCACATTCGCGTTCAGCCCACCGAACGCATGCTCCCCTGTGGATCCCGTCAGTCACTCGTGCGCAAGAGGGACAGACAATGATGTCGGTTTTTATGAATGTGAGCGAATACTCATCTCCTTTATTATTTGTTAACAGGAGCATATTGTAGCATCGTCATGGGAAATGAGCTTTTTCGCGCCGCAGTCCATGTCTACTATTGTCAGACTAATGGGAGGATCCGCAACATTCCTCTCCAGAATGTACGTAATTTATATTTACTCAGCTCACAATATTTGATATTCACATCGAAACTTTTCAGAGACAACTACTTCACCAAGGGATATTACCAGGCAGGCAACGAGCCTTCCTTCGAAATTCCGTGGGTGTACCATTATGCCAATCGCCCAGACCTCAGTGCACTGCGGGTACGCGAGGTTGTCTTTGATAACTTCAACACAGGAATACGAGGGTATATTCCTTATTTTGTGACCCTTGGCTCAGCAACTTGACTCAAGTTACCAAATACAGCATCCCGGGCAATGATGATTCCGGCGCCATGGCGTCCCTCCTCGTTTTCCACTTATTGGGCCTCTATCCTGTCCCTGCATCGACCCAACTCCTCATTGGGTCCCCATTCCTCTCCTCTTTTACTCTACACAATAACTTGCTCGGCACATCCACAAAATTCTCCGTGAATGGCTTCGATCCTGCTTCACTCGCAAGTTCTCCGCCTAGCGGCAGCAGATTGTTTGTTAAGAGCGTGATGGTGAATGGAAAATTGGGGAGCTTATGTTGGATTGACTTCTTCGATGTTGTAGGCGGGGGTGAGGTTGTGATCGAGGTAGATGGAGATGCAACATCAGCGGCGCAAAGGGGATGTGGCGCGGCTGTAAGCCAGCCGTTGCCTGACTCGTTGGAAACGGGTGGATTTATGGCATAACCACCATAACGTCGATATACCAACATTTTTAAAAGTTTTTAGATCATTGTCTATGCATTCAACTTTGACAGGCTGCAGAGAAGTTTCACGCTCAAAATATCGGGTAGCGTGGCGGTAGTTCAAGTAGAGTGTGATCACTCAGCGGAATTCCACCATTTAACAAAAAGGACATTAATAGAGTCCATGTCCATGTGATCAGGCGCTAGCGGCTACATATAAATACATAGTTGGGTACAGATAAGTATGCATGGTTCTCACGTCCCATGCCCTTGACCCTTAAGTATGGCGTTGCGGACGCCCCTAGCTTTGCCATGGTGACAAGGAAAATATTACTTCGTGATAAGTATGGCCGCCGGTTAATACGAAACCATTAAAGTGATGTTGTCTTTGTCGTACCTCGCTCTGTTAAACCTATCGAGTTAGATTCAGTAAGTACTCATCTCTGAAATACTTACTGGAGCTACTGTGATATCGATGGCTTGCAATGTTTTTTTGACAACTTCACGATAAGCGCGGAACCACGGCGATTGCCGTGATCTCTCTTTAGCCTGAACTGGATCTTGTGTAGGGGCTGATCAACGACAGTTCCCTCTTCCTCTTCCCTGCACATTTGACACATCTCGATGGCTGACCAACTCGTAAGAGCTACATCTTTACACGACTATCCCCGGTATTGACTGATTCTGGCCTCGATTTCAGTCTGAAGGTGCGACCGCGCGACAAATTGGGAGGATCCATATCAACTAATCATCCTGTGCAACATCTACAGAGCAAATTTCCGGTATACCTCCTACCAATTCCATTGGAACGCATAATAATATCTCACGCGTCCAGAGTTCAAGGAGGCTTTCTCCCTGTTCGACAAGGGTTTGTCGGCTGATCTTATCGCTTGTCGAACCGGTGAGCTAACGGTATCCATATCTATCTTCAGATGGCGATGGCACGATTACCACCAGGGAGCTGGGGACCGTTATGCGCTCGCTTGGACAGAACCCCACTGAAGCAGAGCTGCAAGACATGATCAACGAGGTTGACGCAGACGGCAACGGCACGATCGATTTCCCTGAGTTCCTTACGATGATGGCGCGCAAGATGCGCGACACCGATAGCGAGGAGGAGATTAAGGAGGCTTTCAAGGTGTTTGATAAGGATGGAAATGGTTATATCAGCGCGGCTGAGCTGCGACATGTCATGACCAATTTGGGTGCGTACGACGTTATCTGCAGCATGGGAGCTCTTTTTGGTCCACGGACATAGGAGAAGGTACTGATATGTAGGCGATTCTTTACAGGTGAGAAACTCTCCGATAATGAGGTAGATGAGATGATCCGGGAAGCGGATGTCGATGGCGATGGGCAGATCAACTATGAGGGTATGTGATAATGTTTCAAGTGAAAAGATTGTTGAACGATTGTTGCAATTCTTTTCCTTTTTCTGTAGAATTCGTCAAGGTACGTCCTCATTGCCTCAGACCTGCAAACTGCTGACATTGGCGTATTGGCAGATGATGCTATCTAAGTGATCGATTCTTTGCAATCAATAAATCGATTATCCTCAACGAGAGACGTCTGTCATGGGAATCGTATCAATAACGAGCTAGTAGTTCCTTGTCTGGCCTTGGGTAGTCTATTTTATCTATGTTACGCCCGCGTTCATGCTAAAAATATACACATCACGCAAATTTTCTTCTGATGATTGCTAGGCAACACTTCTACGTGTAAAACAATCCAGAAAGAACAGGAATCTATCAATAATGATATCAAGATTTCAAATTTCAAAGTTGTAAGCTATTCAGCCCAGCCAAGCCGAGCCGACGAGTATGACACAGCCACGCCGCCGTTTTCAAGCAGTGCACCCACAGCCTCTCCGACTCGACGACATACGCACTTTGTATACTGCCTACCCGCCACGTATACTAAGACGACTTCCTTTTTACAAATGATATCAGGATATCAAGAGTATATAAATAGGAAGGATCCTTATATATCCCTACCTCGATGACGATCTGCACTGGAACCAACTGAACTTCATCGATTTTTCGTCATGGCTGAAAGGATGCAATTGGTATGCGTTCATTTTCAGTCTGACTTCTTGACTTCCGTGTTATTGACACATTTCTGAAGACTCCAGGTTCGTTCTAGACTTGTTATCATGCGGTGATCATCCTTGCCAATGATCCAATGTCTTCTCTTCAGACCAGATTGCAGGTAGGCTTGTATGATGCTATACATCTCAATTTTGGTATCTCATTTTCTGTTACATATACTAGAATTCCGGGAGATATTCGCACTCTTTGATAAAGGTTGGGATAGATGTAGTGTTCAAGTACCTATCCCTTTCTGCTCAATCTATACTAGATGACGATGGTACCATTACGCAAGAAGAGCTCGGGATTGTCATGCGTAAACTTGGACAGACACCAACAGACAATGACTTACGAGAACTGATCCGTGAAGTCGACACCAACAACAATGGGACGATCGACTTTGACGAGTTTTTGGCATTGATGAGCCACAAGTTTTCAGTCGGCGACATCGACGAGGTGGAGGCTGCTTTTAACGTCTTCGATCGAGACAGGAATGGATTTATCAGCACAGAAGAACTGGAGCTTGTTCTGCAGAGCCTCAGTATGTTTCTCGTCTATCTCACGCGCCCTATAGTAATGATGATCATCCTCCCAGATATCAAATTGACCGAGAGAGAGCTTAAGAGGATGATGGAAGAAGCCGACCTGAACGGGGATGGCGTCATTAGCTTGGATGGTGAGCAAATGTGTATGCTTTTTCAACTTTGAGACTGTTTTTTCTGAATTGGCTATTTCTATGTCTCAGAATTCAAGAAAGTAAGCTACCTCAAATGCTTCTCCTCCAAACCATGAACAGTCTCTACAGATGATGTCGTAGTTATGAACGCCGAGCCCAGCGGACACGAAGTATCATTTCCCCATATGCGCTCGTATCTCCGGCTCGTAACAGCGCTATATTTTGTATCGGAGATTACTGTATAGGTATCATCTCGTATGAAGTTGGAGCGTTATGAAACAGCCTAGCACGGCATCGGTCTCCCGGCACGACGCCCCTCAAGCACATGATGTCATCCGTGTGTAACTTATAAGACTGTCCTTTATAAAGCAGCCATATTTCACTAAGTCCGCAATACTACGTTCAACAGCATATGTCCTCCCAGAACAAGACTTCGGCCTCTGCATTGAATACCAAGGGCCAAACAACCCAAAGCAAAAACAATTCAGAGTCGGAGACGACATTCACAATCCAGCCTCATCCCGCTGTATGTACATCAATCTTCGTGCAGTTCTCTCGATCTGAACATAATTTGAAAAGACCACCAACGATCCTCAGGACCTTCTGCGGAAGAGAGAACCGGGTGGGGGCTTGCAAACGAGTGACTCTATGGTTTATGGTCCCGGGCCTGTCATCCCTGATCGTGAAATGCAACAGAATATCGGAGAGCCCTTGGTGCGTACCTGTCTGTAAACATTGGTGAATGGGATTAATATAACAACATTCTAAATGTTTATAGAGTAAGGAAGAACTTCGCGCACGCGCCGCAGAACTCAATAAGTAGAGGCACGATTAGTGGATTTATGATCAATATGTACTGAAGGACGGATTTACTGAAAGAAGTTTACTGGCTCCAGTGAATCAAACCTGTAGCGATGGTCTAAAAAACATAGTACTGCATTAAGAGAGAATCGAACTCCCGGCGGGTCGAACACAGTGGTTGGCAACGACCCAGGTTACCACTACCCCATTAATGCATCTGAGAGAAATTCGGCAAAGTAAAGAACAAGGTCGGGATAGTGTCGAGACGATAGGGGTCACGTCGGGGTTTCAAGTTTAAAACGCGGTATCTTGTTCATTGTCTTACGATGAAGAGTGACTGTTTTCTCGCTTGGTCGGTATGAAGAAGCAGAAGACGCTTAAGCGCTCTCGTATTGAAAACCATGGATACTTCGGTGGATTTGCTTGGAGCTATGGCCCTTGACTTTCATTCATGTTTCCGTGGAAAACTTGTGGAAAACCTGTTTCTAAGAACAAGTGCTGTTGTCTCTATTGCTGCTTCCTGCTCTTTCTTTTTATCGCATGTGGTCAACTGCGTGGTTCCGATTCAACTGCGTGGTTCCGGTTCATTTGTGTGGTTCCGATTCGACTGTGTGGTTCCGATTCAACTGTGTCCTTGAATGAATAACACATTCTAGTTCTATCCGAGGTGTAGAAATATCTTGCTGACCAGCTACTGTCCGTTCTCTTGAAAATCCTCAACTTGGATTTCACTTTTAAATCTAGTTGAACTGCCATGATCATTGTTGAGGACGGCTTTCCATAGAACAAGCTTCGTTGGCGTGGAATCCAAAAAATCAAAAAAGGAGAAATGAATGGGACCTGATGGTAGCTAACCAGGCGATCAACTCTGACCGACCCTTTAGCTGTTGTGTCGGGTATTTATATCTCTTTTCTTTCGTCCTGTTTCCTTTTTTTTATCTTCAAATCGTGGCTTCAATGCGTTTGGCCTCCAGGGCACTCGTGAGAGCTCTTTTTTTTTTTATAGAGAACACATGCAAAAGTCGCAAATGCCGCTAAGCCAAGCACCACTGTTAGGTAACTGAGGTAAGGTCGCCATTAGAATGGCCCGTCCTGACGTTATACCTCGATTTCTCCAGGTGACGTCAAAGAAAACCTGTAGCCGCCTGGAGTGTCGCCAAGTACCTTGGTATCAGCCATAGAAAACACAGGAAGACCTCGATCGGGTTTTCGCCTTGTTTTCAGCTGACGTGGTGCTGAAATCATGGTTCCAAAAACGGAAACCCGCGAACGCGGATAGTCTTCGTTAATGCGTTGCCAATGACGGCGTATCTAAAATTCACCACATCGTCAATGAATGAATATAAGTCTCCGAAAGTTGGTGTATCATACCTGGTCAGGCCTGGCTTGTCCTTGGCTACCGTCCGTCTTCTGTTTTAATTGACTTAATCTGTGTATATGATTCTAATCATCTTTGTCTTTTATGTCTAACAGCCTCTCACCCGGTGCCGAGCAAAAGGGTTTCATGATTTGCCGTGACATCCAAAAGTAGAAAAGAAAAGTTAAAGCATGATACGGCAGGTCTGATTCGGCGCAGCGTACCGGCTAAGCATCTTTCCTTCGAATCGATGCTTTTCTCTCGTTATTATATTTCATTGAAAGTCATTAGCGACTACGGACCGAGGTGAGTGCCACTTCTTGATGCCGATCGACTCTTTTCTAATCTCAGAATGCCTTCTCAAGTTGTGTTACGAGACTACCTATTTTCCAGTGAACTTGGGCTATCAGTTGGCCGAAATGGTCGTTTATCAAGTGCAACTTTGATTATTACTAGGTCACTAGGTAACTCTCGATTTCATAGATTGCTCTTCTTAAGAAACCCTGATATCTGTATAGATGCCAAGATTCTCCACGCGCTTCCATTAAGCTCAACTCCATCAGCCGTACAGGTCCCAACGAATCCAACAAGCCACTTGTACATCGTTGAAATGGTTTCATGCCGACCGGCCCTGATAGATTCGCTACTCGATCCAATTACAAAGACCAGGAAACGTGAGATGGATCGTATAAAAGCGCGATAGCAGGGGGTACTTACATGGTTCGGTTTCGACCTTCAAAGTATCTCTGGCATCCTAAGCCTAGTTTTCGAGTTCATCGGTTCTCTATTCTTGATATTTTGTGTATCCTGCCGCTGCGATGACAGAAAACACTGGGAAATTTATCACTCTTTACCGTGCAAGTCTTATTCCTTTGCATGCTTGTCGTGCGTGTTTCAAGTTCCATCTTCGTTCGTTTTTTAATGATTGCTCAGTCGTTGGTTTAACATGGATTGTTCATGATTATCGTAAGCTATATGATATTTTTATTGCGACATTGCTAACAGTGATTCGCTGATTCGCCAGTGATTACTCTCGAAGATGAGGTGCGCGTGACGGTTGTGGACACTGAACATGCCCAATCTGGAACTCTATTTCTTAATAGATACGTTATATTTGGGTACAGCGACTATTACCTTTTAGCATACCAACGGACTCATCTTTCCCAGTCTCAAAAGCCAGGCTTTAGTAAATATATGTTTCTATGGGTAACTCGTGTCTACACTGTCTTCTCGAGGTCCGCTGACTAATTTTGGCCCTTCTCGGTTAGATTCGCTACTACAGGTATGTGATCTGACCAAAGTCCCCTTCACATTTAATGGCGGTTACCTTCAAATTCGTGAAGTCTAGCTCTCCTTATCTTCGATGTAACACAGATACACGTGTTTTCAATACCAGGAATAACTTCTGATACTCTGTGGGTGTCCCATAATTCTCATCGTGACAAACCAATCACGTAGAATTGCTATCTCAGTTGTGTCGCTATGGATTCTATCATTCGAATCGTTGGTGCAATCAGTCTGTGGTCTATTGAGATCGTCATGATGCTACGAGTGTATGCGTTATATAATTGTTCCAAGAGGGTAAGCTCCGAGGCGGCTATACTATGGCTGTCGTGCTCTTATGCTAGCACCCTCAGTCAGGCTCACATGATCTTACAGGTGGCCATTTTCAACACCCTACTTTTCCTTGGCTCGATTGCGGGTTTCCTATGGGTTCTCATTCATAATGCTCAAAGACGGAGGGCAGTGATAGCCGACTCCATCCATCTCCCACTGCCAGGCTGCCCTTCCATTCATTCTGGCGTAGAGTGGCTACAATGGGTTCCAGCCACTGTGTTTGAAGGGGTTCTGTTTTGTTTCGCTCTATTTAAGACTTTGAAGACGACTACAACACGACTCATGAAGAGGACACGAGTTTCGCTTTATTCTGTGCTGTTGCGCGATAACCTGTTTTATTTTTTCGGGTAAGTCGATAGCATCGCTCACGTTATGTTTCTGACATATTTGGCATGGATACAGAATCACCGTCCTCCTTGTCTTCAACAACTTAATGGTCGTTGTCAGTCTAGTGCTGTTTCTTGACTAGCGATTTTTTGCTGATCCATTTTGTAGGGAGTGACAAAAATACCTTGGTTTAGTTATAGGTACTATTCTTATCTTGAATCTCAGTACGAGAATAACTACTGACACCTTTCCCTGAAGCCCCTTCCATGCTGCCATGGGGATTTTAACTACACGCATGCTCATCAACCTTCGAAAGGCTGTGGTCCAGACTCAGGTCATTTCAAGCGGCCCTTTAGGCGCCAGTATATTCCCAAGACGGGTGATGGATAACCGCAGAGAGCACTCGCTAGCGGGAGACGTCAGCACCTGGCATGTTGCCACCGTGACTAATACCCACAGCGATTGACGGCTCGGCCAGAGAATAATGTAGCCTTCGCATGAGTGCATTGAAGTGAGGTATTATCCTCCATCCACACGCGACTGTAGAGCAAATGTACGCAGAAAGCAAATATGAAGCGGAAAAAACCATCAATATAGCTGAATATATTGAGTGGTCGCAATCAGCCGTTCTGATCTTGGGAATATGAAATGGGGTTGAAGAGACGGATAAGTAAGGCAAAAATTGGCGTGCATTGACGGGGTCTAAGTAGAAATGTGTCGGCTAGCCTGTACCGTACTTCAGAAATGATCAAGTACCCTTCGACGTCTGGCATGGAATTGAATGGATGTACTTGAATACATTTTGACGTCTCGGTGATCTTCAACCGTGCCGTTACTTGCACCAATGTCAGTGGGTAGTTCGACGCCTTTTAATGATACTTGTGACAACAGTATGAACTTGTTTGAGCAGCAAAGACCCCCCAAGGTCAAGAGCAAGTTGAGAGGACCGAAGCCGTATGAGCGACACAACGACGAAAGGAACCACTGCATGAGAAAAGTGAGTTGACAATTTTTATTGCACCCTTGGCCTAGAATCTAACTTCGGTGACACATGTCGGAGCCACACTGTGAAGATCGGCAATCCTTTGGAAACTATGAGCCTATGAGTTGTACAACTTTGGATTCGACATCCTTCGCATTCAGGTTGTCTAATTCAACGTGCTTCTCTACTCCACGCTCTGCAAAACGGTAAGCACACCAGGAATGAGAGAGGATAGAGACACCGTACCAAATCTCGCAAACACTCTTGCCGGGGTACCATTCGCTTCTCGAATCAAAACAGGAAGGTCGGGATTATGCTGTTTTATTGTTGCATATCGTGAGAGGATGAACTCCCTAAAAAGCACGGTTAGAGTCACGACTAGTAATCGAATTGTTGAGGTTTCTGACCGAGTGCCCGCAGATGCTGTTCCCGTCTGGGACAAAAGAATCCTTATTTCTCTCAACGCTGGTGAGAGAGCCTTGGAGATTGACATGAGTATCGAGGCCGCGTTTTGACAGGGCCGTGTTGGGCAGGGAGCGGAAAGTGCTGATGTAAGCCTGTATTTCCACGTGTTGGTCAACTTTCGCCGACAGTGAGGTTACTTATTGTCCACCATTGCTGACCGTCATGGACGCCGACGAGAAGCGCCAACAGGATGACTGGGCTCAGAGTCGTAGGAATAGGCTGCCATCGTTCACTGAAGTCCTTTCCAGGCGAACCCGTCCACCTGTCGACTTGTTTATGTTCTAGTGCGTTGAAGACCTTTATTCCATTCGAAGTGTACTAATAGACTCCTCCTAGTCTTTTTCTACAGCGAGAAGGAGCAGAAGATATCCTGGATTTCTGGTTAGACGTTCAACAGCACGAAAATCTTTGCCGTGCCTACTTCAAAGATGTTCGTAAATCGGGTCGCACGATTAAGGAGGATTGGC